GGGGCAATATGCTGACTCTCTGCAAACCACTTAGAGAGGCCTGAAAGGCCTATGAAGCGGTATATAAGTCTACTGCTATTATTATGGCGTTTGGGGGAAAACTGTTCTTGATGATGATGAGTTGGTTCCTTAAACAGGTAGGATGTCAGGTAGGTAAGATATGGTCCCTTCAGCAGCCAGGCATGTATCTCTCTGTCGCTAGTAAGCGGCGGATCTCCAGTTTAACCTGTGCAAAGGCAACCTGAGCTCCGCCTCCAAGAGACGCCCTGGCCTCTTCTCCCCCCCTCCCGTCCGGAGATGGGCGGCGAAGCTGCAGCTCCATCGGGAAAGGGAGGGAGGCGTGTGGCCGGCAGATCCGGGCGAGGAGGAGCGCAGGCCGCGAGGAGAGGGGGAGGCTCTTCCCGCGCCAGAGGGTGGCTGCTTGGAAGGAAGGAAGGAAAAGCAGGCGGGCTCGGGGATTCCCGGGGAAGAAGGTAGGGCCCCCTCCAGATCCGGGAGCCGCTGGAGCAGCCGGGGGAGGGGGAGGGATCCCGGTTTGTTTTGCTTTCACCCCTCCCCCCCAATACACGCATGCATGGCAGCACAAAGGCAGAACCTTTGCCCTGCAGGTGCAGTTCAAGAGGCATTTCTGCACTTATTTGGCGGCGGGTGGGGGGACGAGAATGGAAATCCCTGCTGGATCTGAGATCTCGGATTCTGATCCCGTCTCCCTGGTTGCTTTGATCCGCTTGGGTGGCTTTTGAATGAGGCAGTTCGGTCTTCTGGCGATTGTCTTGTCTCTGCCCCTTTTCACCAATACCAATTTGGGGAGCTGCATTCGGGGCAAAGGGGAGGGGGGAATGCCGGAGTGGCGGAAGCAGCAGCCCAGTTGGTTGGTTGGCGGAGAGAAGCCACGGAGACCTTTGTTGTCGTAGAGGTGTTTCCCCCCCCCCGCCTCCATTGATTAGAACAATCATTCGATTGCAGTCCAATGTATCGATTTGCCAGATTTTTATTTAGTGCCTGACTGTCTCAGAAGAGGATGACATGCCTCCTTTACCGACTGCCTCGTGCAGTGACCATTCTAAAAAACAACCATCATCCCTGTTGTCGTTTTATACCATCTTTGCAGCCTTCCTTCCGGCACATATTTGATATAAGCAATACGCAATACAGCCCCCATCTATGCCTGACCTCCAAGAAGGGTGGAAGGCTAAAGGTTTCAGGACTTTCCTAAATGCCCAGAGAGAGTCAGGACCACTGGAAGGTCTGGATGGGTGGGATAATGCCTGGGGCACTCAAAGTTATGACTGTGGGAAAGGAAAACCAGTTTTGTGACCGGGCGGTCTTGCATTTTTGTGCCTAATCCTCGCATTTAGGAGACTTTTATCGCCCCGTCCCGCAATCACACAATGGGCCCTTCTGTCTTCTCCAGCAACAAGCTGGCGGTCAAATTGTGATCTTGCGCTTAGCAACCTGCCACTTCTCTTTAACAATTGAAGGGAAGTGACATCATAACTCTGTCAAGGTCATGTGGTGGGGTTTTTTTCCCCCCTGCTTAGTGCCCCCGATGCTTAGCAACTGAGTATCCAGGCCGAACTGGGGTTGCTAAGCAAGGACTCCCTGCATATCTACAGTATAGCTTTCCCAGCATGAAATAATTTAACTGGGCCGTTCACTTGCAGCTAAGCGAGAATAGGATGGGATGGCCAGGCCTTAAGCTAAAACTGCTAATGAAAGAAAGAGGGTTTTATGCCCCTTTGAATGGCCAGTTTTCCCCAGAGGGGGGGAAAAAGGAGTTTATTTTAGGCTCAGAGGATATAAACTTGCAGAGCCCATCCCTGAGCGAGGGAGGCCCGAGGACTGTGGGGAAAGAGAAAAGCCAAGTGACATTAGAAGAGGACTAGGATAATTAAAGCACCAGCCTCCATGACTTCAACTGAACCCAGGCTCCGGGTTATTTATTTATAAGGTAAAGATAAAGGTTCCCCTTACACATATGTGCTAGTCGTTCCCAACTCTGGGTGGTGGTGCTCATCTCCGTTTCAAAGCCAAAGAGCCAGCACTGTCCGAAGAAGTCTCCATGGTCATGTGGCCGGCATGACTGAATGCCGAAGGCGCATGGAATGCTGTTACCTTCCCACCAGAGTGATCTCTATTTTTCTGCTTGCTTTTTTACATGCTTTCGAACTGCTAGGTTGGCAGAAGCTGGGACAAGTAAAATGTATAAATTTATTTATACATGCCGGCAATTCTAATGAGAGAATATTTTGCAAGTTTTAAAGGAAGTGATGAATGTTAGAGACATAGAAGAAGATCCTTTTTATTCCTGGCATATTGTGTGGCCCCCTCATTAATATTTCCTTCTTCCTTTCTTTTTCTCTCCTGGAACTGCAGGGAGGAACAACGATGGCTGAACAGAGGATTGTGGTACCCAAAGAAGCAGGACCTGAGAATGAGGGAAGAGACCCTCTCATTGTTCAAGTCAGGACCACAGGGGACTGTTTGACCGGCAACGGCCCATCCTGCATTAATCTGCAGTCCCAGGAGGAAATCCACCAATGCTGGGACTTTCATTTGCAGAAATTCCTGAAAACTGTGGCGGTGCTTCCCGCAGCACTGCCTCCCTTGGAGGAAAATGCCACAGAATCGCAGGCCTCCATGGGGAGAGACAAGGAGAATCCCCAGCAAGAGATTTCTGGGTGGTCCAGAGGGGAATCCGTGCTCCAAAGAGATCCAAACATCAGTGCGAAAGCTTGGACGGGCAGGGAAAAGCTGGATTTCTGCATGAAGGTGAAGGTGAAAGAGACTTTGAAGGAAGTTGACCAGTGGCCCCTGCAGCTCAGACAGTTCGGCCCACAGGATGCTGAGCAGCACCAGGAGGTATCCAATACCCAAAGGCTGAAAAAAGAGGGAAAGGTGGAGTGGGTGGGAATGGGAAGTACGTGGGGGTTGCAAAAAGCCATCCAAATTACTAGCCTGTGAAATGTGTTACTAGCCATCTGAAGTAGTTCAGAGTCTTTGTGTCAGTTTTGGTCGCAAGAGCCTCTATGAAAACAAGGTGATTAGGATAATAGTCTCAGAGCATAAAATACTGGGATTTTTTAAAAAGGAGATTGTGGGAGATTCTATTCATTTATGGGAATCGGACAGTTGCCCAAAGGAAAATATTATGTAGTAGATGATTTTGGAATGGATCCATAGGATGACAGAGGATGGTGGGGTTTTCAGATGTTCCCGTTTGGTAGTATTGCCTGAGAACAAAAAAATAAATAAATGCAACTTTACCTTTGCTGTAGAATATAAAGCTGTTTTGGACGACCGATTTATTTGTTAAATAAATTTGTTCTCTCACTTGCTACTCTTGGTGGCTTACAACAGTAAAAAACAGAAAAATGAAGTGTAAACAGAACAGCAGCAAAATAACAAAACAATAAAATGAAATAAACAATGAAAATACAGTAATATGAGATTAAAAGAAGGACAAGGGGAAGCAGGGAATGCAGTGGGAGAAAGTGGGGTTTGCTGTCAATCTAGTAGCCACCCCCCCTCCCAGGCCAATTGTCAGCCAGACCTTCAGGGTCTTGCTGAAGGATAGGAGGGTGTTTATAGACCTTTGTTGCTTCAGATAAAGACTTTCCTGCAGAAGCCTTGAACTAAAACCTTTCCTCTCTCTTAGCAATCCAAACCATGTTCCCCAACCTGTGCTTTCCAGGTGTTCTCATTTTCCTCACCCTGCAGTTAAATTAAAATATGCCAGTTTGGCGAAGACTATAGAGTTTTAAGAATCCTAGCTTGGAAACTGTTGATTCCGATAACCATCCTGAATCACTGGGACCCAGGAGGCTTATAAACTTAATAAATCAGTATGTGATTGATCACGCAATCAGCCAGCTGTTTAAACCGGATCTGGCATTTTTGTCTACCTGTCGAGACCTTCTAAGGACCTGGGATAGACATATTATGTGGGTTAGTATTGCAGGTACCATTGTGGGATATAAGCTGTTCCAGGTAAAGTTGCCTTCTACAATTGACCGATGGGGATTTTGTCAGTGCTAATGGTGCTTAAGTGGTGTTCCAGTTGTTTTGGCATTGCACCCATGGCACCTATTGCTACTTGCTACTTTGTTATGCTGTTGTTTGTAGTCAATGCTAACCTCTTGCAGCAACTAAGGTAGTCCACAGTTTCTTCAGTTTTGCTGTCTGTTGCTGTTTTTCTCAATTTTGGCTTTCCAAGAATTTGTTCTTCAGGCTTGGTCTTGTGCTGCCACAATTAGTCCCTCATATATATATGTGTGTGTGTGTGTGTGTGTGTGTGTGTGTGTGTGTGTGTGTGTGTGTATG